ACAATATACCTACATTAAGAAGTGAAAGTATCATTAACAATTATTTGGGACTTTTAAATTGCATTCACGGAAACTTGTAATGATACCTAAGTGATACTAAATACTCGTCATTACTTGTCAATTACTACTAAAGAACAGTTTCAATCCAGAAATATTTGTGTGTACGGTCACTGCGTATTAATACACAGCCTTTGGCTATTTAGTCTCATAAATATTTTGGACTTGTGTAGATAAAGCGAAAAAAAAATAAACAATTCTTTTGTAGTTATTTAGTTTTAGCTAGAAGTACAGCAAGCATCCTAAACAATTATTTCACAGACAGATCTATCTGATTGTCAGGTAAATAAATGAGTCAAGACATGTTTGATGTAAGCCTATTTACTAAATGAAAATGATTTAAATTAAAAAATTATGTAATATTTATGTAAGAAAAATATTACAACTATTGCCTATGACTGAATTTAATGACTACTCCAAGTTAAATGCTCTTCTCTGTGTCCTGTGCACTAGTGCTATTTTTAAATATCAACCAAATAAGATGCCATTTTAAGTAGTGGTATCACAATAGACCCATAGGGAATAAATGAGTTGGTCAACCTGCCAGAGTGTCATATCAAATTAACCAGACCTATGACATGGTATGAATTTGGAATTTTCCATTAGAAAGGAAAATAATTATTACAAAATTTTTGCATGTAATAAACACAATATTTAAATTTTCTTATACATTAAGAATAAATTGTCAGATCTCTCTAAATGCAGATCATATTATTTTTTTACATTTATCTTAGAAGTTGTTAACAATATTATATCAACTAACGAAAAGTGTTATATGTCAAGGCTAATCACTGTAGTATTAAACTCATTAATTTTTCTTTAATTTAAGAAAATTAGCATATATAATATGTATATTTTATATTCATTAAATATCATCTATCTAGGTTTCACACAACTATAACACATATTTGAACTTGTCCTTTCCTTTGCAGGGATTACCCTTATATAAGTTTTTATATATACTTGAGAATACTTTTAAATTTAGGTGCAGAAGCAAAATAAATCATTTTATGTACAACCTTCGATTTTAAAAATTATTATGTTCTACTCATAAAGTGAACCCGGTCCCCTCAAGACAGCTACGTTAATCTACCGTTCATTATGACAATACCTTTTTCCATGCAAGTCAGCTTAGCAAAATTATTCTAATAATTTTATATCTATATTTGCAGCAAAGGACCTTTTAAATTTTTAAATCAACAAATTAAATAAAATTTTGGAATCTTATTTAAAATCAGAACTGAAAATATTATTAATGTGTTTGTCATTTATACTTAGTGTTCTTTGACCCGACCCATGAGTTATATCCCTCGGATGAGAAGTCCTTTGTGCTGCATGCATATAAGTGAACAAAGATAATTTCTGCTACAATCTTCGTTTGCTTTAGTTCGAAGAGTTTCCTTTGTACATTGTACGATATCCCGTCGATTTTTCATCAACTGACAATTCTTTAACTTTTCTTTGTTTATTCGTCGTTTTTGTCTCAATTAGTGGTTTTTCTTCCTTCTATTTTGTCTGTGCCGTTATTATGGATGAAATTTGCTCACGCAGCGTTTAACAAAATTACTTTAATTGTCTGTTTAATTAATACTTCAACTGAAAGCAGTCACTTTGGACAAATACTATGACTTTACGACTTCTCAGTGTTCTTTTCAGTTCTTATGCGCTTTTCCAATGTCCATTTTTGCTTTTCCTTAACAGAATTGAATACATAGTCCAACATTTTTTTGGTGTTTAACACGCAATTTTTAGCACTTTACGATCAGCTCATTTGTATGAATCTTTTATTTACAAGTCTTCCCACAGTTAATCCTAAATTTGCAGTCTCACAAATTGGCTTGTGTTGAAGTCATTTTTTCTGTTCTTTCCTACTTTCTTGGCAAACATTTTTTCTTATTTTCCTATATATACATATATATATCCATATATTCCTTTTGGTTTGTTTATATATTAGCAAATTTTTTGTTTGCCTTTTATGTATTTAATTATTGATTGTTTAATTTAATATTGCTACAAAGGTCATTCAATGTCATATCGCAAAACAACTACTATTTGCTCATTTTGTTTTTTTTTTTTGTGGAATTTATATTTGGTCTATACTCTCAATTTCAATAAATTTTATTTCATTTTATTTTTTCTTTAATAAAATTAAGCAACATTTTTTTAATTTTTTTCTTATTTTCGAATGCGAAATTTATTATTTCCCCAAAGAGTTAACTTTGAAAAATATTTGCCTCTCATTTCATTTACCATTGGGAAATTTTCACAATACGCAAACAATTACTAATCTAATTTAAATTGAGGTATCAAAATCGATAATATCAATTTTAGAAAACAGTTAATAAATATATATGAAAAGATATCTAATGGGAATTTGTAATAATCACAGAAACGATTCGTTATGGTCAAAACATTGTCCAAAAATTATTGCTATTTTGTTTGCTTTATTTTTGTTTAAATATGGAAATTAAGCAACGTTTATTTGAAAATAAGTTAACCAACGAAAAATCCATTTACAGTACTATCTAGGGGTTTTTACATATCATTTTATATTTTATACAAATATACAAGGTATAAATATTTATGCCTTAATTCAGTAATAGCTCCCACTTCCTAAAGCACGTACATTAAAAATTCATACTAATATCTTTGAATATAAGAACAATGAAGAGTTGGCTTTTGGGAAGAAGAATGTTACTTACTGACATTCACTGAGCAGAAGACACTCTGCCTTTTGAGTGAAACCAAAATGTTAGCTATTGAGGGCATCCTACCTTCGATCGAGGATAGAAGCTTCCGAATTAAAGCTAGATAATCATAAAGAATGTGACTAAATCTTTCATTTGATTTAACGTAAAGACAACATTCTACCTGTTTAAACCCTTATTATTAAAATGATAACGCAGAGTATAATGACAAGTCGGACAGCCTCCCAACAAACCTAAGTTCTATTCTGCTTAAGAAGGACATCTTACTGTAGTTAAATGCACACACCAGCTCTTTAGCCTGTAATGTCGCATCAGTAGCGACTTCGTTCCTTTACAAACCATTTTTCTATCATAGATCTTGTTGTGGGCCACTTTATATCACAATAAGGTTTCGGTTCAAAGTGTCAAGTAGATATGATCCAATTCATGCAAGGTTATCTATGAACTCGTTGCTTATTAAGATAGTAAACTATATTGTACTCCAATGATGCTCTTCTTTGCTTATTAATTATACGAAACAACACCAATAATCATTATAGTGCAAGAAGTTGAATATCATTAATTATATCGTCTGTACAAAATTAAGATTCAACAGATAAAGATATTGGATTTGACTTTTCGGAAGCTTGGTTACCTTTTGCACAGAATTTTAAATCTGCAGTAAGCTATATTTGCTATATATATATATATATATGTATATAGTCTATTTATATACATATACGAGTATAATATATACACAATACTAAAACATAAATACAATATAAAATATTACAAACACAAATTCTTGTTCACATTTATACTTCATTAGATAAAAAGTTAAAGTTTTTCTAAGAGAAACATATTCCTAAATCGACGGTTTATGTGCGAGCTATACTTAAATCTGAACCGACTCAAATAAATATATTTTGCAAAAATATATTTTGCACTTAGTTTTATTTGAACATTATTATTAAAAACTCATATCCGAATGTTCAGTTTATGTGGCGGCTACAGGTTATAGTGATCCAATTTCAGCTAATCCGACAAATGATCAATGTCTACTCCCTAAAAATATGTGCGCAAAGTTTTATTCGGATGAGATCATAATAATCTTTTCTCGTCTAACTATTCGAGAATACATATATTTTATCGGGCCTACAAAAATCTTGACAAACCTAATACTCCCTTTTTTATTTTACAGTATTTTGTTGAAAGAGTATAAAAATGTCTTTGTGTATTACTGCTATGCATATAAATTGCTTGCTGGGATACCATTTAAACACATATTCTTAGAGTTGTTTCTTCAAACATTGCTTCGCACATTGTATATGATATCGATCATTTCCATTTCATTTCACAACTGCCAGCTACATACTAAAAAATAGCTGGACCCGGTTCTACAATATATTCTGTTGCCGCGGTACTGAGTTTCTTCATGAATGCGAAATATAACGTCCATAAGTAAATATATGTTTATATGGATGAGAATACAATATGTACCAAATCAAGCAATTGGGTGTAATATATAGCAAATGGTATTACAAATTTAAATATACGAGCAGTGGGTATCCATGTCTTAGACAGTTTCTAGCATTTATAACATATAATTGAAATCTTTAGATATTGCAAGTATTATGAAATATTTCACAGAAAAAAACAATCTTTGTTGTTGTAGTTGTTGTTATTGCTAATGTAACGTAATAAAATTTTTGGCAGACATTATTCGTTTTTACAACAAAATACTTAAAAATTATTCACATTAAAAATAAACATATATAAATGACAATTACTATGGTGTTTAAATGATTATTTCTGTAATTGTTATAACTATTTTAACTATTATAATTATCTCTTGTTAAACTAAGATATATCTTATATATACAAAAAAGGAACAACATGTGTTTAAATATTTCTGTCATCATATATAACACATATGATTATATAAATACAATATATGTGTGTAGTTCTTATACATATAATTTCGATATAATATATAATTATAAATGTAAATCATTTTTTTACAATTTGCTGAGACTTACAAAAAGTTAATAACATTCAAGTAAAAATAAAAAAAATTTTTTTTTGAGTTGGCTAGACTTTTTTGCTTAAAGCGGGATTAATGCACTTAGGACTAATTCTGCAACACTAACACTATATGATTAATTTTTTAATATTAAATTTTTTGTTCAATTTTACAAAATTAATAACACGTTGCAGTGCACAGATATATATGTTAAATTTTTAATTGCTGTTGTTGTAGTATTGAAAAAAATTTCTTCTTATAGAGGATAGTTATCTGCTAATATTTACATACACATCCAGTTGATAAATCGTTTAGGCCTCGTTTTTTTCGTTGTATTTGAGAGAGTTGTCAAGATAATCGTCGTTTTCGGTCGTTTTTATTTGTTTAAACAAATAAATTTACAAAATTGAGCGGTGTGCTATAGTGATGAGATGAGATAGAAAAAATTAATTAATAAAAAAAAATATATAAAATATTAACAAACAATTGAAACAATACTACCACGTTTCAACTATTATAACTATTTACTACCACAAAAAAAAATCTATTCTACTACATAATTCGGATAAATAATGTACCATATGAAGTATGCGGCTTTTAGTACGATTTGGATTAAGTTACTGCTACAGGACATGCAAACGATTTTATTTACAAATGTATATATTTTCTGTATTAATCTTCTATGTATGTCATTTTCTTACCAATATTTGTTGTTACGCATATGATACGATTTCATTGCAGTTGTAAAATAAATTTAATTGTTTCGTAAAAATAAAATTAAAAACTTATTATTATTATTAAATGAAAAACAGCCACGTTGTAGTTGTTAACTTTTTTTATATTGTTTGGATACGATAACATATGAGTTTACAGTAGTGCTCCTGGTTCAGCTGTGTTGATGATATTCAAAAGTTATTTTTGAAAATAAAAGAGAAAATAGATATTGAATATTTAGAGAAGAAATGATATTTGTTATCAGTTGCAGATAAGCTGGGATACAAACTACTCTACTAGTGGTTTTTAGGCAATTGGTACTACGTATGATACATTGTGTGCAGTATCTAAATGTGGGATTGGTGTAGTAATGACAATTAAATTTTTATTTTTTTTAACATCCATATATATGATTTATTGAGTGTAATTCTTTAGTGCTAATCAAATTTTTATTTTTTTCTGATATCCAATATGCAATTTCATAAAATCATCCAATTATATAAGAAATTTTATTTTTTACAGTAGTTTGAACCAATTGGTATAGCACTACTTTATGTGCAAAATAATAATAAAAAAGTCTTAAAATTTATTCTATGAGACATTAAATACATAAATATGATTAAAATGAGTTTAAATATGTTTTAATATACAAAAAAAAAATTTAATATTGATGTTAAATACTCCTGTGTTGGCTATTAACACCTTTCTTTAATTATGATTTCTAGAGGTTTTATAGTCGTCTATATCTCTTAATTCATGTTAATTAAATCAATAAATTACTTTAATTGTTATAGAAACTAGTGCCAATTCTGCGACCTACAAAAAATTAGTATAACTAGAAATTACCAGTTATAATCAATGTTATGCAGACAGTTATATGTATTTGTAAAAGCAATAATAAAAAGTAAGAAACTTCGGTTCTCCCGCGTTACATCGGAGCACATTGCTAAAAGGATTTTGCACTTTTAGTTGTAAAAAATTGAGAATTTATTTTAGTCATATTACAGATCTACCAAATAATATACACACTTATACGAATATCTTGTTCAAAAACAAAAAGAAGACGATTTATTATAAAAGTAGTTAATAGCAATTAACTACAAGCCCCAATCACTCACATAAATATATACGAAGCTAAATGATAGATTAATTTATTAATTGAAAGAGATTTAGATTAATATCGTTATGGTTTTGAAAAAATATTATTCTTAACTTTAATTGTAATGTTCATTGATTTATGAAATCTTAAATTACTTAAACATACATGAGTTTGTACAATGATTGGCGATAATAATGTTCACATGTTTTTTGTTGGATATTGCAATGAGGCTTAGTATTTATTATTTTCTGGGGTCTATATTAATTTGATATAAAAAAATTTAATTTTGTTTGTTTTAGAAAATATTTCCGTTTTTATTTTTCTTTTATAATATTTTTAAATCACAAATGTACTTACGTGTCAATGGTCTAGCTGGATGCTTAGACCACAAATAACGATTCTTCACCGGCGATAAGAAGGAATCCCTGGCAATTGGACTGGAACCTCTTGGTACAGATAATGAACGGAAGGGAATCAAGTCTTCAACATCCCACCAGAATGGGTCACGTGTGAAGGCAGAAATTGGTGTATATGGATTTGGGTTGAGCATGTCCCTGAAGCGGTTTCTTGGGTGGAAGATTGGAAGTCCTTTTTTGGTTTGTAAAATTGTAATTGTATTTTAGTTGTTGTTGTTGTATATTTGTGCAGATAGACGAGTAATCAAAATTTTTTTTGTTTAATAAGTATATAAAGTTTAAATTTTTAAATATTGTATTTGAACGATGTTGTTTGGTGAAATGAAGTAAGAGAAGTAGAAACATAATTGTGATATTTTTAAACTAAAAATATAGATTAATAAAAAAAAGAACACAGAAAAAACATCGCTTTAAAATAATTTGATATTTTCCATGCGTAATTGGCTACTTTTCTAAGGAAAAATATCATTTGGTATAAGCGTGGGATCCATGGATTTGGTGACAATATTGCTACCTGTCATGTGAGGCACAATTCTTTTATTGTTAATTTTAACAAAGGAATAAAATGTTCAAATTTTATTTTAAAAAATATGCTTTTATATGCTTTTAAATACACTAATTCAATTAATCATTTAATAGCATATTTTTTATGACAGCAAAACAACATTAAAGCTTACCAAAAAGCAAAAATCAAAATTGCTATACGCCATTTTATGGCTTCTAAAAACAATATTTAAACAAAAAGGTTTGGAGACAACGGCACAGCTAAAGGATTCATTTAATAGCTTTGATGCTTCTGGCTTTATCAAGAATTTTGAAACTTGTATTGTTTTCAACTTTTTGAAAGATAAAATTTCATTTTCATGCGCTTTTAAGCCAAATAAACAATTTCATTAAAATTCATATCATTTTCAAATTGACAACATTTTCAAAACAGCATGAAAACATCAAACATTGAAACTCAATCATTTACGATTAAAATATATGCCAAATTTGAAAAAAAAACTATTAAAAATTGTGCTAAAAATTTTGCATTAACTTTGTAAAAATAAATGCAAAATATTTTTACCATCAGCATCATATGCGACCTCTGTGGGACGTGGTCCCCAACGGCCTGCCTTAACGGGAGTGGGACTTGGTGAGCCGGCACGCTCAAAAGTTCTTGGCGGTTCACTTGGTTTTTCATCTGACTTACTAGCATAGAGTTCATCCAATGGTTCCAAAGAGCTGGCGCGGAACAATGGCCTAGTGAATGGTGCCAAGCTGGTAGCACGATCGAAAACAGATGGTCCACGTGATGCGCGTGGTAAGCTACTATCACGATTCCAGTAAGTTGGTGGTGGTACATAGGGCTCACTGCCAGCACGTGTATAACGTCCTGGTCTTACTGGTGATGGTGAACGAGCTGCAAAGTAATGAGTAAAAATATATTGGTTTATATAAATATTTATTGTTTGTTTGCTTTTGTCAGCAAAGTAAAGACTCTTCTATAAGTTATATTTTTTGCATTTTGAACTTCAACAACAACATATTACATTTTCAACTTTTCAACAAGGTACATTATTTTATACCATGTTATAATACATATATAATGAATCCACTGTAGATGCATGGGAGTTGAGATTGATATCAGTTGTTAAATTTTTAAATACCGAGAATTTTTCTTTGAAAATGACAATTAAAAATAGTATTACACTAAGTAAAACTAAAATGAAGGATTAAATATATAAGTAAAACTAAAGTCAAAAAAAATAAAAATTTCTCTCTCCTATTATTATTTTCTATAAACTCAATTATTAAGACCTATTGATAATTGATCTACATTCTTAAATGTAGTAAAAGAAATCTATCACTGAGAAGATAGAAGAAGTAGAAACAATAAGAAGTAGATTGTTTCACTTTATCCATAAATAACAGTTGATAATTGATCTACATCGCTAACTGTAGAAAAAGAGGTCTATCACTGAAAAGGTAGAAAAGGTAGAAGAAGTACATATAACAAGAAGTAAATTGTTTCGCAGTATCCATAAAGCAACATACGATATTATGCACTAAATATAGACAAATACCCTTATACTGCATTACTTAGAAACAGAGCACAATATCGATTAAAAAACTATTATAAAATACACTGGCAAATTTTAATTTATTATGTACACATAAAAAAGTGAACTAGAGATTTGTTTAAAGGACAAAAAAGTCTTACTTTTAAGAGGTCAAAAATAAGAAAGGTGTGTATGCGTGTTATTTGTGTTTATGTTCGTGTAAGTAAAGACGTTAACCTGGTTTTTACCTAATTTTTTCACAAAGAACTGAAGAAAAAAATTATGGACTGTTCCACTTGACTTCACTATTTAAAAAAAAAATTAAATGAATCTGGAATGTGGTTTTTATGACATGGTAAAAAAGGATTCAACTGATTTCTCTTAAGCCAATTATATACTATAATAAACTATATTATAGTATATATTAGTTATCAATTTTAATTTATTAATTTATTAGTTCCTTTTTATAAGTTGGATGATTTTGTTTTGCTATTTTAAACGAATAATAATATTAAAATATTTTTTTTTTTCAGGTCTTGTATTGGAAAACTTTTCGTATCAGCTGGTAAGTCCTATTGTTTAATGTTAAACTAAATAAAACACTTTTTTGTATTAATTCCATAATTCAACTGCACAAAACACGTATTATATTATTATTTTATAACGACTATTTATCTTATAAAAGTCAAAAAATAATTTTAAATAGAAACACTGAGCAAATGAACTAAGAAATATTTACTAAATCTCAGAATTAACTCTTAATTGGCTTTATACGAGTAACATACCCTTAAGAGAAAATCAATCATTATCAATATAAAGATTGATCAAGTAATATTAAACGGTTCATATAAATAAATAGTTATTTATATTTGATAACCAATAATTGGTTTTAATTGCATTTATTTTTCAAGGATATAAGCTATTAAAATTAAAAAAAATAATTTGCGCTATAAAATTTGTAATTATTTTCTAACTTTTATGGAAAAAGATTATCGAATAAAGGATTGTAAAACATTAAAACAATAAAACTCATTCGCTTAATTGGTTTTACAAATTTATTACATTTTAAAAAGGATAAAACTTTGTCTACAGGAATTTAAGACTGTAAAGCTCAACTTTTTAAAATCACTTAATAGCATTGAAAATAGATGTAATGTTAGCTTACAAAGAAGAAAATTTATTAGGGCAACAAAATTTAGTACTTAAGTGGATATAAAAATGTAAACATTTAGAAAGCAATTAATATTTAAGTATTTACTTTAGATTTTAACATTAAGGCTAACAATATTAATGATTTAATTTCATATCCAATCAAAAAATTATTTATTTGCATTTATTACTTAAGTTTTTTTTGAATAATATATTTTTTAATTCTACTACAACTTCCTCTCTAATATCATAAAAATGTTGTACAATACATTGTCTAAGATCATTGTCTGAAGATCAAAATATTAAAAGCTCTTTTGGTAATAATCTTATTTTTTATTACCTTTAAACACGGGCCACAAAATTCATTTATAGTTTAAAACTTTTCAAAATATTAACATTCGACTAAATAATTAATTATCTGAAACACACCTGCATACACCTGTAATATGAATGTGGTATCATAATAGTGATAATACGAATTAATTCGAACTAAATCAGAAAATTAGTTTTCAAAGGAATACCGTTTCTTATTGCTATCATTTTAAAAATAATTTAAAAAATTTGAATGTAGAGTATTTTTTAAAAATATACATCTTCCAGAGTACGTAGAAAAAATTGTTTAAAAAGAATTAATTTCTTAGACTGTTTTATCTATATTCGTCCAACAAATTGGAACATTTCAAATACGATTTGCAACAAATATCAGAAGTTTTCTTATCAATATAGTTCTGCTTTCAAAGTATCTTAAAGTATTATATTAATTAAAAAGTATCTATTAATTAAAAATTTTTGTTAATTTTAAATTTTGTTAATTTTAAAAGTTCGGCTCTACAACCTATACACTCATAATATAACTTTGTCAGCGCTTTACCCAATCTTTGGTATATTTCTAGAATTTTTCTTTTAGTCCACAATCGAATCAAAACATCATCCACAAAGAAAAAATTTTTTATTTCTGAATAGAATAAAGTCACACAAGGATGTCAGCGAAATACGACGTTTGCATAACTATAGCTTCATAACATTACAAAACATTCAAAGGTGTAATTACAAAAATAGTTGATGAAGCATACTGAATAATGTTTGCAAATAAACTTCGCGTGGTATCTTAGTTGAGTGCAACCAACCAACTAACAGAAAAAAAATGTGGCAACAACTATTAAGTGCGCTTTCAAAATTATAAATTTCGGTTATTTTATACACGTACAATCAATCATAATTTCTATTACCTAAGTGTTAGAAATTAATTTTAGTGCATATTTGAAATGGACTTAACATATTAATGAATACGAAATATAAGTAAGTATTTATAATACATACACATATTAATTAATTTTTGCCTATTTGCTTTTTATAGATGAAGAAATATTGGATAAGTTCATTCTAGAAGTTAGATGCACATTTTAAAAAATATAAAAATTTGAATTAATACATATAATGTGATTTTAAATCAATTTTATTTTGTTTGTTGTGTATTTGATGTAAAAATATTTTTTAAGATATAAATAAAATATTTAACAAAAGTATAAATAAATATTATAAACTGTAATTAGGTACAGAGTTCATCTAAAATTTATTTAAAGTTAAGGGGAATGCATATGCATATGATAAATAAATGAAAACACTAAGAAATAGTCAACTTTTCATTTATAGCAATCTTTTCTATTTCATTTTTTTTTTTCAATTAAAAACTGAACAAAAATTTTTTAAAATTGTAAAGCGGTTAACAATTGGGTAGATACCAATGGAAGCCAATCTCCCAGAGGTCGCTTTGGTCTTATTATAACAATCGTTTATTGTTATAAAGTTTGTACTTGAAGGAACTTCAAGTACTTTATCATTTTAGGTAAACATGTAATATCTAAACTGATCATATCAGACAGACACTTTAGAAAGATAATCCCTTCTTGGTGAGTGCAGTTGTAGAGCTAGTGATAAAGACATTTCTGTTTACTTTTTCTAACCTCAAGCTATGAATTAGTTCTTGCATAATTGACTATTAATCTTTATGAGCATTTTAATTGCTTAAAAGTTTTTTAATTGTTTAATAAAGTATTAAAACTTTCAGAAATTCTTTTCAATATTTTGTACTTAAACATAAAAGTGTTAGTTAATAACATCGACCACTTCTAATATAAACTTTTGTTCTTTAAATTATTTAAATTTCTTTTACATATATATCAGTAAACTATACAATTAATTTTCTTATTTCTTTAAAAAGAAATTATAAAATATTATTAATTAACTTGCTAATAACACACTACCTTCCTTCTATTATTTTTACAATAACTGTACTAACTTTTCCCCTTAACTTGAAAATTCAAAGTTTGAAACTATTTGAAAAGTTTGAAAATATATATTGAATCGCACCAAGTTTTTAATTTACTAGTTTTTCGTTTTAAAACTATATCCAGCTTAGTTTTATAGTTTTTGTTTTAATATACAAAAGCTTAAACAACGAAAAAAATTTTGGAGGTTTAAATTTAATTTAAGTTACATTACTTCATATTTTTGACGTAACTGCATTGCTTTTAAAAAATTATTAAAACACTTTTTACGTATTTCAGTAATAATTTTTGGTTTCTATGAGCTTTCTCCGAATACTTCTAGCTTACTTACTTTTATAAACATATAAAATATTTTTAATAAAACATGTGAAGTACACACGAGTACAAGAGTCTGCTTCAAAGTTGTAAAAAATTTCAACATATTTTGCAGTACTTTTGCAAGAAAAGCTATTTGCAGAGATTTTTAGATATAAATTCTTGTAAAAAGCTATTAAGTAAACTAAGTTAAAAAGAATAAAATTATAATGTTAAATACATAAATAATAAACTTGATTATAAGAAAAAAATACAAAAAATGGTAACAAAAATTCAGTGGCGAAATTATGTAGAGTTGACAAAAAGGCGCTTTAGGAATTCAACACAAAACTGTTTGGTATAAATTAATTTATCTTTTAATATTTAAAGTCATAATTTGAATATTTGTTTTTAATACAAATGTATTTACAAATATATTTTAATTTTTTTGTTATTAAACACCTCACATTATAATTGAACTCCGCTACTTAAATTCAAAAATAAAATAAAAATATGAAACAACGTATTTTCATCACTTCTTACGAATATATTTAATCAAAATTCTCTTAAGATTTTAATACAAGTAAATGCACCTACAGAAAAGGAATTTAATATTTATAAATATGTGG